CATGTGAGTGGAGGGTGGGGAGGAACGCAGTTAACAAAGTCCTTGTTCTTTAATGTTTCGCAATGGCTCATTTGGTTTCAATGGGCTTTCTTGATATGGAGGGCTTAACACCTTCTGTATGAAGCCAGCATTTTACATGAATGAATGCTTCCTTCCTGTTTAACTCTGGGCTTGTCTTCATGTACAGCGCTACACCCCTAGATGCCTTCTTCCTGGGCTGTGCCCGCCCCTTTTTATGCTCCACTCTGATTGGCCAGCTCTATTTTCACTTTGCTGATTGGCTGGGTATTTTTGTGTTCGGCTGCTGGGGTGTGGATGGGTTGGCTGGCAAACTGGCTAGGGCCACTCCTGGACTCAGGTTCCAGTCCCCTTGCTCCAATGAATATTTAATTGTTTATATAAAATGGAACAACTCCAACAGGAAAGTTTGAGAGAGACCCAGCTCAGAATACTCCATAGCTAACAAATATATTCCATAAGGGAACTTAATCGTTGCTGACATCTCTTCTGAATGACAGGTGGCTTTTATGCCCACCAGCTTCTATGATTTTTCACCCAAACCCCAGCATAACAATACAAAGAAAGGTACTGCTTTCTCAAACATGTATGCTGCAAAGAAAGTTAGTGATCTCTATTTTTTTCACACATTCTTTCCTGTCAACCATCTAATAGGCTATCAAATTACACTTTTTGGTAGATGTCCTATAGAACAGCTACCGGTATGTTTGTACACAGCCTGCTTGTGGCTTATGCATTCCACTAAAGCTGTGCTCAACATAACTGCATATGGTACCCTGAGAAACTAAGGGGACCTGTCATGTTAGACAGGAGTCATTTATTATCCCAGTCACTATAGCCTCTTACTGGCATTAAATGCAAAGAATCGGGGAAAAAAAGCAATTTGTTTGTGCAACCGTTTTAATATATTGGCTGCTGTGTGCTATTTAAGCAACTACAGAGAGCATATTTCTTCCTATCAAAGGGTCCCAGGCTCAGTTGAAGTGACCTGAACAAGAATGATGGCCCTATTATTTCATCCTCCTTAAAAGAAATCAAGAAAGTCAATACAAGTAGTGAAGTTTTTAGCAAGTAAGGATTGACAGAAGTAACCATACGTTGCTTGATCTTGTATTCCTTCCTTGTGTGTAGCCCCATTGTTTAAGGTGACTTCTGTTTTGTGTAAAAGCTGACTGGAAGGGTCAGGCCCATGGTTGATATAGGGCAGGCGTAGATAACCTATGGCACGTGTGCCGAAGGCGGCACACGAGCTGATTTTCAGTGGCACTCACACTGCCCGGGTCCTGCCCACTGGTCCGGGAGGCTCTGCATTTTAATTTAATTTTAAATGAAGCTTCTTAAACATTCTAAAAACCTTATTTACTTTACATACAACAATAGTTTAGTTATATATTATAGACTTATAGAAAGAGATCTTCTAAAAACATTAAAATGCATTACTGGCGCGCGAAACCTTAAATTAGAGTGAATAAATGAAGACTCGGCACACCACTTCTGAAAGGTTGCCGACTCCAGATATAGGGGATTGTACCCATAAAAAAATATCTCTTTATCCAATGCTCGTCCTAGTGACTTATATCACAGCGTTCCCATGCCAACAACAAGCAACAGAGGGTCCTGTGGCACCTTTAAGACTAACAGAAGTATTGGGAGTGTCGGAGAAAAACACAGTTCTCACTTTTTGTTTGGGTACAGCAAGTCAGATGCTTTATTTCTCTCACAATTGCTCAGAGGGAGAGAGCTAAGCAGGTCTCTCTACAGGTAAACAATTACAGCAAGCATTTATACCTTTCATTACAGACAATAACAAGCAAGAGCTGCATTTTGTTTATACATAGGCCATCTTGATATCTTATTTTTCTCACTTGTTTTGACTCTAGCCTACATACAATATTTTCTACACATTATCTACACAAGGTCACAACAACTTCTCACACAGTTCTTTCCCACTCGCCTCACACAATCCTCGCTTCTGCAAATCTCGTGTTATTAGGGTTACAGTTAGTCTGACTCTTGCTAACGAACTGTCATGCATTGCAGTTCCTTCCTGTCAGTTCTTTCTCTGCTTCCACAACCCCCCCCTTTTGTACTACTAGTACAACAAACATTTTCAAATCTCTATTTGCATTAAATCTTGGACTTCAGATTCTACATCAGATGCTTCAATTTTAGGGGTTTTGATTGGATGTAATGACAATGCATGATTAGCATGAACATGAAAGGTATTACTATTATTACGTCCTTTACAACAACAATAACATAATCCTAAACTAACTAATAGCAACACAAGCAATAACATTCCCATAGCAAGAATATGATGGGGTTGTTGTACAGTCTTAGTCATAAAACACAATACATCATACTTAGTACATAAGCTGGATACTCTATAAGCTGTCTGAAAGGCATACTTTTTAACTTGATATATATTTTGAAGCATGTGAATTTGCCCTTGTACTTCAGAGATTTCCTGAATCTCTGGTAACAGTGAAAACAAATTCTGAAATCTATCAGGTACTAAACTAGTCCAATTAAAGGGTATCTGGAACCTAAGGGCTACTTGCAAAACTCTATCTGCAGGCCAGTAAATAATATGATTGCCTGCAGTGGTAGTGAGATTAAAATGCATGTCTTGCAATGTGGTGGCATTAACATACACACAGCTATCATTAGCTTGAAAAAGTAAGTGTCCTGTCAGGGTAGTTCCTTGTCCCCTACCCTCCCAGCAAACGTAGTCATAAACAGTGACAACTTCTCCTGGCTTCAGTTTACGTATACACTGAAGCTGTGGGGGTTCTAACGGCCAAAATGTCCATTGACTTCCTAACCCCATCCAAATGTCAGGTGTAATCCCAGGAGCACTGACTAAAAATCGATTGGGCATACCAGGTGGTCTAATTTCCCAAATGTCTCGGTGAATTACCCAATCCCACATGCATCCTCCCCATGGACCCGGCAGGATACGGTATGTGGGAGCCCACACCCCCTGAACCGGTCCATATGCTTGGAAGGAGCATTGAGAACGTCCGCACTTCCACCCAGAAAGTCTCCAAGTATGTCTCCATGGCCACAGATCAGATGGTACTCCTGATGTGTCTGTAAGGGCAGTGGGCCAAGCCTGATGCTCTAGATCATTCCAAA